CTCACCTCATCGATTCGTCCAAATCCATTAGTTGGCGGTCAATGTCCGATTCCTCTCCGCTTGACATTCCTCCACGATCACTGTTGGACTCATTTCTAACTTCTAAAGCTCCTAAAACATCTTCAGCACTGAAGCGACTCCTCTTAGAACAGGTCGCCATTGCGTAAACTGAAGGTCAAGTTGCATGACACGCTACTTTTAGCAAAGGTTCACAAAAAGGCAGCCAATCACTGCGTTTGTTATTTTCAAGTGACCAATCACGGCGCTTTATATAGCCCAGACTCTCAGCTTCAAAACAAGCTGTTTATATATTTTTTCCGATGTATTTCGACGGAAAAACGAGCGATTTAATTAACGGGTCGAGGTGGACCCATGATCATGTGACCCGTAATGAAAGAGTTAAATTCTACTACAACAAAAAATGTGAAATTTTGAATTCAATCGCGACAAATATAACTTGCAACATCCGAAAGCTTGTAAAAAACTACATAAAAGACTTTTAAGCAGCATTTTTATTCTTCAAATGGTTATTGCTGTAAATTAGGCACATTATCTCGCTAAAAGTCCCTAATTAATTATTCGATGTTTGAAAATGCGTTTTTAACAGTTTATAATTCGAAAACTATTTCAGAAATCAAAAAACTGTCTAAACGTCTTATATGCAGTTTTTTATAAGCTTTCTGATGATGCAAGTCATATTTGTTGTAATTGAATACAAAATTTCACATTTTTTGGCCATAATAGAATTCAATAGAAGAAAATCACTAATCACCCGTTTTCAGGGGTTAGCAGCAAAATAGCGATGGCCCCACTTCAAATATCTATTAAGCAAGTAAAACTACATTAATTGTAGAAGTTTGATGCTTTTAACCTCAACGGGAACTACTGATCAATAATTTTACACATATATCCGCCTCACTAATTGTACATTGCCCTACTGATTCATCATGTAAAGAATATTGCAGATTTACGAAATGTATGAATTCCCTTGAGACCTGATTACTTATCGAGCGAGGTCTGCAAAACATCAACTAATAAACTGCACAGTATACACGAAGTCATTCAGGCACACTTCTTTCTATATCTGAGAAGAGTGTAGGGAACCCATCTTCTCTTCGAATCTTGCCACGGGAATATTTGGGTATATGAGTACGTATTACTATTCACTACGATCCTACGAGCTATAAGTTTGAACGACCCGCTTTAACATGATGCACAAAACACATGCATGTATCAACATTCAATTTATTCAGGACTTAGTCCCGTCCAGTCAAAACCAATAACAACCAAGTATTTTGCCTAAGCATGCAAATTCAAAAGCGGTAACCAGTAGGAATCAGCGATTTTGCTTATGCTCAGGTCTCGATAATGATATTAATGAGGCTATAAGTCCGCTTTCGTCCTAAAGGCGGATCTCCACTAGACGATTTTTGAGACGATGTTTATGACGATCGTCATAAAAATTCGTGACGATTTAGAGAAAAGTGGAGATGTACTAGCAGCAAGAAAAACAACGCGGAATCTTATTGGTTGAAAATATGACGATCGTCAAGCGCTCGACGAAAAATAGAAGTAGTTTCTACTTTTCGTCGAGCGCTTGACGATTCTTGACGATCTCTTTTATGATCATTTATTTCCTACTGCGCATGTTCGTGGCAAATTTTTCAGACGATCGTCATAAAAATCGTCTAGTGGAGATCCGCCTTTATATGCAGGTCAACTAATAAGCCTTTCACGTTTCTAGAAGACCGTGATAATGCTTAGTTTCAACGTTGTGTTGACAATGACAAAGCCGTTGAGAATACCCCTGGGACCACAAATTATCACAGTTTTTGAGATCACAGTTTTTGTCGAGCCTTGCATGACAAATTTCTTTCTTTAAGCGCGTCGTTGAGCCGGCCGCGTCATAGATCTTAAGCTCCCTAATGATTCAAACGCCAAACTCACCATCTGCCGAATCTAATATATTAGGGCGGGAAAAGCAACAACTAAATTCGACTTAATTGAGTTCGATGTCTGAATCAACTTTCGAACTATGTCGAACTTCGCCAAACTTATTAAACTAGAAGTTACTATCGCAAGGAAAGTGCTGCCATCAAAGGCAAGGGAGCATGCGCAATTTGCTGAATAAGGCCTGTTTATACGGATCCCGCTTAAACCGCTTTGCCAGGACGAGATATAAGGCGCGATGATTTTGTGAAAAACTTTATTTTCTAGAGATGGATTATAGTTAACTGTAAACGAAAGGTTGTTCAAAAAGCTATAAAAATCTTGAAATAGTCAAATACATGATCTTCTCTACAACATTTGAGTTCGGTTAGCCAGCATTTGAACTTTCGTTTAGCCTAGCCCTTATTTCAATACATCAAAATCATCCCATCTTCCATCATGTAAACAGCCCAGAGTATGCCCGTTCACAGGTTAGTTGCTGGGCATGACCTAACTTGCGAACGGGCATACTCTGGGTACGAGATTGCTAATACGCCTGTTCAGGATGCAGGAAAAGACCGAAAAGTGCAGTTTGAATATCAAACACCTTGCACAAGTTGAAGGCCAGCTAAATATTCTAATTCTACTTTCTTTGCATGGGGGATTTTATATGAATCCCTTCAATGCTTATAACTTCTTGCTTTTGTATGTATAATTATACTGTTAATGGTGAAGCTAGCCGTCATTAAACTAAACTCTACATGTCCAATTATTCATTCAAATATTATCATTGTTGATATATATGGCAATATGACATTGTACAGTATTCAGTGGCAAGCTAGCCATGGCAACTGGTCATGCTATGCTAATAAACCTGCATCTTTTTGAATAATGCAAATCATTAAAAACTTGCATAACATGACTTGTTGCTACAATTTCATATACCTTACTTGTATTAAAATTTGCGCAGTACCAGAATTCGCGCAGCGCTGGATTGCGCGAATTTTAGTAATGTGCGAAATATAATCCGCGCGAAAAGCTTTGTGATGTAATATGAGACACCGGTTGTTAGTAATGCAAATCAGTTGATTTATTTAACCTGATTTAACGCACATCTACACATTTGACATATCATATGTTCTAAATAAAAAATGTCTTCCTCCTGGACAATTTCAGTCGGGATATTATCAGGTTCCACGTAGCATTCCCTTACGAATGCTTGCATTTTGCCACAGATATTCAAACAGTGTCGCCAAAGGTTGGCAACGATCATGTGTGAGCGCCGCATTGGAAGAGCCACAACGAAAAGAGAATCCATCAGTTGAACTCTAGCTAAATACGTTTGTGTATTTTGAGATATATTTGTGCGTTTGAAATATATTTGTGTGTTGCACTTGTGGGCCACCGTAGTTTTATACCATTTATGAACCTATAATATATGGGAATGCTAATAAGATTATTGTTATTGTATTAGGCAAATGAGAACCATACAATAAATGTTTTAGTTTTATTACATAATTTTGAAACCATTTTTGAGGCCACCTAATCGCTTTTTGATTAAGTTTTGATAAAAAATACTCGTTATAAATACTTATTTGTTAATAGTTCTATTGAACAAACCAAAAAAAACGAACACGGAAAATTTCTTGCCCGAATTTAAAGATGCGCGAATATGAACAAGGTGCGCAAAATCAAATCGCGCATGAGTACGACGCGATTATTGTTTTAATGGCACCTTCAAGGCTACCCCTATTGCAGAACAACTGAACAATCTGCTGATGAGGAGACAAAATCTATGTTGAAATTTTTGTCAGCTTTAGATGTCCATTCATTTGTAATGATTAAGATTGTAGAAAGAAATTCTGAGCAGGTGAATATATGAATGTGCTAGCCGGTATTATATTACATACAATGCTAACCAATGGACATATCTCGGATACTAAAAGTACATTTTGACTCCTTGTATAAATATAAACACGATCAGTGGGCTATTAGAACTGCAAATTCATGAAATCATATTGGTTTCAATACCTCTATATCGAACACTAAACAGCAAATCTAAATATAAATGCCTTCATGTATATCACCAGAAAGAAATAAAGCTATCCCCATGAATTATTCAAAATTTTGTCGATCCTTTGCATCGTATTAAACTGTATTAAATCCTGAGAAGAATCATGCCAGCGCAATACAAAATAAATAAAATTGAATCAAAATCGAATATAAAAAACAAAGAGTCGGCGAATGCTCGAGCTGACGACAATTTCCGAAAAATTTGACATCCGACGGACTGACATGGATTGAGTATGTTTCCCCAATATAACTCGGCCGGGGACTGGGCAAGTAAAAGCAAGAACGTCATGTAACGTCAAGAATAGGGAGCTGCCTCGCGCAATTATTGCGCATTAAGGCTGCTCTCCAGTCACGCGTTTTTTATACGCGCGTATATATGCACGGAAAAGTTTAAATCTTTTAAAATTTAACACTAGTATGAATTACCTGTACAAATTCACAATAAATCACTCACAAAACTATATGCTTTCTTTTTATTCATTCAGTTATTTCATAAGTATAACTTTAAAAAGATTTTTAAATCTTTAAAAGTTTAAAAACTTTTCCGTACGTATACGCACGTATGAAAAACTTCAACTTCAACTTTATTTAAACACGGTACTATTTCACAGTATATTAAAATATATTATTTACAAAACCAACCAGAAAAAAGTGGTCTTCCAATAGGCCGTGTGCTAACTACTATAAATTTAAAATAATTTTATAACTTAACATTATATCAATCTACATTGTTTTACCCCACTCTTAAAAGTTGCTACACTTCCTAGCGACTTCAGGTCAATTGGGAGAGCATTACAAATCTCCGCACCTCTGTAGGCCAATGATTTTTTCACAACATTAGTGTTTGGCATTGGTAATGTATAATTACATTCTCAATGCCTAATGTTATGATTATGGACTACTTGTGTATTGATGAAAATATCTTGCAGGTAGTTTGGAACCATTTTATGTTTAACGTTATATATACATTAATGTAGCAAGTTGTTGTTCTCTTCTTGTTTGCAGATCTGAAAATCTTGCCTTGATTAGAATATCTTTTGATTGCGTTTCATATCCTTCACGGGTAATAATACGAAGCGCTCTATTTTGGAGACGCTGAAGTTTATCTGATAAAACCTTTTCTAGGCAACCCCAAACGTGCGAGCAATAATCAAAGTGTGGTTGGATTATTGATTTATAAACAGTTATTAAAATATTATAATCAACAATATCCCGCAGTCTTCTAATAATGCTGAGT